CATTTGTACAATTTTGAATCCCCACCACCTAGGGATGCTTCCATTCAAATATGATTGATATCCATCTCTTAGTTCCAGAGAAGAAGTCGCTTAAAGCAATAAAGCCAAATTGCCCCCTTTTAGCCCCGCCCCTCAGCCCCCTGGGGGGTCAGCCCCACCATTTGTACAATTTTGAATCCCCACCACCTAGGGATGCTTCCATTCAAATATGATTGATATCCATCTCTTAGTTCCAGAGAAGAAGTCGCTTAAAGCAATAAAGCCAAATTGCCCCCTTTTAGCCCCGCCCCTCAGCCCCCTGGGGGGTCAGCCCCACCATTTGTACAATTTTGAATCCCCACCACCTAAGGATGCTTCCAGTCAAATTTAGTTAAATTCCAATCAGTGGTTAAGAAGAAGAAGTCGTTTAAAGAAATTGTTGACGGACGACGGACGCCACGGTATATGGCATAAGCTCACCTTGGTCCTTTGGACCAGGTGAGCTAAAAAAGTGCATATTTTCCGGTCTGTAATTAATCATTTTAGCGAGGTAGTTTGTCACTAATATGTTTGCTCTTTGTGTTTCCTGGGGAATTTGAGGAATAATTTTCCGTGTCATGTTCATCATCCGTCCTGATTTGTTTTGGCTACTGATGTAGGTACACACGTGTAGCTATTAGTGCCCCCTGTCGGCGAACACGTGTAACCTTTGTTTTCAGCCAATTGCGACTCGTGTTTCAAACGATAGTTAGGCATTCACGAAAATTTGGATGACCGGTAAGAGTTTCCTAACCTGGACCGTTCACACTTGGAGTTTCAGCGGTGTAAATCGGCCTATAGGAACTTGTTTTTAAGTTTGAAATAGTTATTTCAAAATGGCGGCCGTGTCGACCATATTGGATTTCTGATCGACCTGAAAAATAACAACACTTTGTCAGGACCATGAGTCGATCATTCCTAGAAAGTTTCAGTTCAATCGGCCCAGTAGAACATCAATTTAAGTTTGAAATAGTTTTTCAAAATGGCGGCCATGTCAGCCATATTGAATTTCTTATCGCCCCAAAAAATAACAACACTTTGTCAGGACCATGAGTCAATCATTCCTAGAAAGTTTCAGTTCAATCGGCCCAGTAGAACATAAATTTAAGTTTGAAATAGTTTTTCAAAATGGCGGCCGTGGTGGCCATATTGGATTTCTGATCGACCCGAAAAATAGCAACACTTGGTCAGGGAGATGTCAGTATTTCAGCTTAAGTTGAAAATGTAAAATGTTAACGGACGACGTACGACAACGGACGAAGACGGATAGCAATAGGTCACTTGAGCTAAAGCTCAGGTGACCTAACAACATGGATGCACACAATCAGGGGGAAGTTATCAAAGCTGAAAACTTCCGTTGAAATTGACCCAGTAGTTTTGGAGGAGTTGTCCGGACAATAATTTTTCAACAAAGGGCAATAACTCCGTAAAAATAGGTCAGAATGAAAAAATAATACTTGGATGCACAACTTCAGGTTGTAGCTATTATACCTGGAAACTTTCGTTGAAATTGGTCCATTACTATAGAAGAAGTTGTCTGGACAAACTTTTTCTACGGACAGACAGATGGAAAGACCGACGGACAGATGAACAGACATGCTGATTCCAGTATAATCCCCTAACTTAGCAGGGTTTTAAAAAAACTTCAGTGTAGCAGACATGTATCAGGTTAACTCAATTAGCAGAAATACAGACACCATTCTCAAAGGTATAAGGCTAAATAAGCACTACCATTAAACCCTGTACACCAGTGTCAGTGAGGAATATACACCATTAACCATTAAACCCTGTACACCTGTGTCAGGGAGGAATAGACACCATTAACCATTAAACCCTGTACATCAGTGTCAGGAGGAATATACACCATTAACCATTAAACCCTGTACATCAGTGTCAGGGATGAATAGACACGATTACCCATTAAACCCTGTACATCAGTTTCAGGGGGGAATAGACACCACTTACCATTAAATCCTGTACACCAGTGTCAGGGAGGAATATACACCACTTACCATTAAACCCTGTACACCAGTGTCAGGAGGAATATACACCACTTACCATTAAACCCTGTACATCAGTGTCAGGAGGGATATACACCACTTACCATTAAACCCTGTACACCAGTGTCAGGAGGAATATACACCATTTACCATTAAACCCTGTACATCAGTGTCAGGAGGAATATACACCATTCACCATTAAACCCTGTACACCAGTGTCAGGGAGGAATAGACACCATTAACCATTAAACCCTGTACATCAGTGTCAGGAGGAATATCCACCACTTACCATTAAACCCTGCACATAAGTGTCAGGATGAATAGGGACCACTTACCATTAAACCCTGTACATCAGTGTTAGGAGGAATATCCACCACTTAACATTAAACCCTGCACATAAGTGTCAGGATGAATAGGGACCACTTACCATCAAACCCTGTACATCAGTGTCACGAGGAATATCCACCACTTACCGTTAAACCCTGCACATAAGTGTCAGGATGAATAGGGACCCCTTACCATTAAACCCTGTACATCAATGTCAGGAGGAATATACACAATTAACCATTAAACCCTGTACATCAATGTCAGGAGGAATATACACAATTAACCATTAAACCCTGTACACCTGTGTCAGGGAGGAATAGACACGATTACCCATTAAACCCTGTACATCAGTGTCACGAGGAATATCCACCACTTACCGTTAAACCCTGCACATAAGTGTCAGGATGAATAGGGACCCCTTACCATTAAACCCTGAACATCAGTGTCATGGGGGAATAGACACCACTTTCCATTAATCCCTGTACACCAGTGTCAGGGAGGAATAGACACCATTAACCATTAACCCCTGTACATCAGTGTCAGGATGAATAGGGACCACTTACCATCAAACCCTGTACATCAGTGTCACGAGGAATATCCACCACTTACCATTACACCCTGCACATAAGTGTCAGGATGAATAGGGACCACTTCCCATTAAACCCTGTACATCAGTGTCACGAGGAATATCCACCACTTACCATTAAACCCTGAACATCAGTGTCATGGGGGAATAGACACCACTTTCCATTAATCCCTGTACACCAGTGTCAGGGAGGAATATACACAATTAACCATTAAACCCTGTACACCAGTGTAAGGGAGGAATAGACACCATTAACCATTAACCCCTGTACATCAGTGTCAGGAGGAATATACACAATTCCCCATTAAACCCTGTACACCAGTGCCAGGGAGGAATAGACACCATTAACCATTAAACCCTGTACACCTGTGTCAGGGAGGAATAGACACCATTAACCATTAACCCCTGTACATCAGTGTCAGGAGGGATATACACCAATTACCATTAAACCCTGTACATCAATGTCAGGAGGAATATACACAATTCACCATTAAACCCTGTACACCAGTGCCAGGGAGGAATAGACACCATTAACCATTAAACCCTGTACACCAGTGTCAGTGAGGAATATACACCATTAACCATTACACCCTGCACACCAGTGTCAGGGAGGAATAGACACGATTACCCATTAAACCCTGTACATCAGCGTCAGGAGGGATATACACCACTTACCATTAAACCCTGCACACCAGTGTCAGGGAGGAATATACACCACTTACCATTAAACCCTGGACATCAGTGTCATGGGGGAATAGACACCACTTACCATTAAACCCTGTACATCAGTGTCAGGGAGGATGTTAACTGGTATATTGAATTATTGAAAATACTTAGTGTCCTAAGTTACATGTACATATAGACGACTTACCTAATAAAAAGTTGACAGTCATCCAGCTTAAAACACCTACAACATAAAAACATTTTCCTCTGACATTAATACAATTCCGGACGCTGATCAAAAGACAGGGTAACACGCAATGAAAACTAGAATCCTTTATAACTTATTCACAATGGTACAGACCTTCTACTATATCCAAACACATCCACTTATCTAACTAAACTAGACATGTATAAATTGAAAACCTATCTTTTCCAATCAAGAAAGTTGGTCTGTATGAGATTTTGTTACAACCATATCATACACTGAACATTAGTCTTTTCGTACAGTGTTTAATCCTACTCATACCTGCCAAGTCACCTGATTTCGTCGGTTTACACCCGGGATTTTAGCCCTTCACCCGCTTTTATAACTTCACCCGCCGGGGTTACGATTTTGACCCGGATTTCATCCATTTCACCTGTTTTCACCCGGAATCTTTTCGTTTATTAGAAGTTACCGAAGACACTCGGAATTCTCTAGTCTTTTCCAACTCTTTGTCATGAGAAAGACGATCTATTTCCTGTTTCGATTTCTCACCGTCAGGTAACTTGTGAGTTGTTTATATATGTACAAGAACTGTTTTTACAAATGTTTATATAAAGACTGTAGGTTGAGGTAATTTTCATTCGCAAACTTTGGTGAGCTCTATCCCAGGAAGTCACCAGCCAAATATTATAATTTTATGCCTTTTAATTATTCAGAAGAAGCTGTTTGAACTGTTTGACATATAATGATATTTGAACGCTGTGACCTTGAAAGTAGGTCAAGGTCATTTTCATTCGCAAACTTTGTTTGGCTCTCTCCCAGGAAGCCACCTGCCAAATACTAAGATTTTATAACTACCAGTTCTTCAGAAGAAGTCGTTTAAAGTGTTTGACATATCTGCCTCATGTGACCTTAAAAGAAGGTCAAGGTCATTTTCATTCTCAAACTTTGTTTGGCTCTTTCCTAGGAAGCTACAAGCCAAATATAGAGATTCTATACCTTTCAGTTCTTCAGAAGAAGTCGTTTGAAGTGTTTGACACATTTGACCCCTGTGACCTTGAAAGTAGGTCAAGGTCATTTTCATTCTCAAACTTTGTTGGGCTCTATCCCAGGAAGCCATCAGCCAAATATGAAGATTCTATACCTTTTAGTTCTTTAGAAGAAGTCGTTTGAAGTTTTTGACATATTTGACCCCTGTGACCTTGAAAACAGGTCAAGGTCATTTTCGTTCTCAAACTTTGTAGGGCTCCTACCAACGAAGCTTTCAGCCAAATATCATGACTCTAGGCCTGTCCGTTCTTCAGAAGAAGTTGTTTAAAGGAAAAGTTGACGGACGAGGAGGGACGGACGGACGACGGACGCCGCGCCACGGCATAAGCTCACTTGGCACTTCGTGCCAGGTGAGCTAAAAATTCGTCATGAATGAAAAAAAAAAGGTGTACCACATGAATTTCCATCTATTCTTGTGTTATGTCAATCAACATCACAGGGACAAAATATAACATAATGACAAAGGGCAATAACTCTGAAGGTTACCATCAAATAATTACCGGACAAAGTTTCATTGAACTCCGTCAACATTTATTCAAGTTATCGTGTTTACAAGGTCCAATAATAATATTATTACAAAGGGCAATAACTCTGTAAGTTACCGTCGAATAATTCCCATTTTCGAACTCGTCCGAGATCTTATTGATATATGGCTGCATACACAGTTTCATCAGACTCGGTTAACATTTACCCAAGTTATCGTGTTCACAAGGTCCAATAATAAAAATATTATGACCTATGGTCAGGTAACCTAACAAGAGGTCCAGAGGGCCTGTATCGCTCACCTGGATATCTAAGCAAGCATGGCAAAATATTCTCCAAATGAGATCCAAGGGAATATGCCAGACCACAAGGCTAATCCTTGTAGCATATCTGTATTTGATTTTTCATGCCCCGCAATTTTATGTTTGGTTATGGGGTGGGGATCTCAACTTTTTCCAAGCTGTGACTCAGAAACTAGGTCACTAGGGTTGTGGCCAGACCCCAGGATTAATTTTAATATCATGACTGCATTTGTCTCTTTTAGCCCAGCATTTGTATATATAGTTTTGGGTTGGGGATCTCAACCGTTTCAAAGTTATGACCCAGGGGTTAAGTCTACAAGGGTGGGGCCACTCATGACCCTAGGGCCATCCTGGAAGCAAATGTGCATTCCTCTCTTTTTACGCAGCAATTGCATATATGGTTATATGGTGGGGAACTCAACCATTTCCATGTTTTTTTGGCCCCACCCCTTAGCCCGGGGGGTCAGCCCCACCATTTGTAAAATTTTGAATCCCTGCCTCCCATGATTGCTTCCGACCAAATATGATGAATATCCATGGTATAGTTCTACGGAAGGAGTCGTTTATAGCAATATAGCCAAATTGCCCCCTTTTGGCCCAGCCCTCAGCCCCCTGGGGGGTCAGCCCCACCATTTGTACAATTTTGAATCCCCACCACCTAGGGATGCTTCCAGTCAAATATGGTTGATATCTGTCTCTTAGTTCGAGCGAAGAAGTCGCTTAAATAATATGGCTAAATAACCCTTTTTGGCCCTGCCCCTCAGCCGCCACGGGGGTCAGCCACACCATTTGTACAATTTTGAATCCCTGCCTCCCATGAATGCATCTGATTAAATATGATTGATATCCAATCCATAGTTCTACAGAAGAAGTCGTTTGTAGCAATATAGTCAAAATGCCCCCTTTTGGCCCCGCCCCTCAGCCGCCTGGAGGGTCAGCCCAACCATTTGTACAATTTTGAATCCACACCACCTAGGGATGCTTCCAGTCAAATATGGTTGATATCCATCTCTTAGTTCCAGAGAAGATGTCGCTCAAAGCAATATAGCCAAATTGCCTCCTTTTTGCCCTGCCCCTCAGCCCCCTGGGGGGTCAGCCCAACCATTTGTACAATTTTGAATCCCCATCACTTAGGGATGCTTCAAGTCAAATCTAGTTAAATTCCAATCAGTGATTAAGAAGAAGAAGTCGTTTAAAGAAATTGTCTGAAATTAAAGATTACCTACTTGGTTGCAGAATTATCTGGGTCCAAGTAAAGTTGATTTTTTGCAATTTCGCATCGTGTGCTGTTGTCAAAATTTTACCTCGTAAAGCTAGCTTTTCATGTGTAGGCACCCTTTCGGATTATGGCCAAAATTTTGATCTCGAACCAAAATCCTTTTTTTTATTTACAAATGTGAAGCTCACATTGCCCACTTCATCATGCTTATACCAATTTTAGTACAGTTTTATTTTTATATTTTTTTTTACATATCATGATACAGGGGTTAACCATTTAACAAAAATATCACCCATGGCCACAACCCTGTACTGTATACTGCTACATGAGGGGTGTGTACTGCAGAGGGTATAGGGGTCTGATGGGTGTCGTCTCACGTAGCATACATTTGGTATTTTCCTATATACAGGTAAGGTGTTGGATGTATGCTAGGTGAGATTTGGTGTCAGTTAGAGAACAATAGGATTTAATAACAGGTAAACTATAGTCTGTACCATAAAGTGGTTTTTTTTCAGGTATAGGGTCCCAGGGGTCTAGAAACCGTGCCGGTGCACAGGTTTTGAAAGGTTGCACGTACAGGGGGTGCCAATGACAGCATTCCCATACCGAAATAAGTTACAAATAGGTATAACTTTTTCGTACCTTTTCAGTAACTTTTTTGTACTCCTGATAAAAGGTACAAAAAAGTTTTAACTTTTCGATACCTTAATTAAAACTTAAACTTTACTAGTGTACCTTTTTGTAACTTCTCTGGACTTTAAAATAATTGCAATGCTGGTGAAAAACTTTGCATATTTTTGGTATAACTTTTAGTACCTTTTCTGGACTTAGAAAACAATGCCAATACTTGTGAAAAATTTTGGTATAATTTTAAAGTTAGAAAATTTTTGGTACAGTGGAACCCAGTTATTATGTATATATATATATATATCGGTTATTATGATATTTTCCCCATGTACCAATTTTTTCCTTCTTTAACTAGGCAAAACAATATCGTTTATTTTTATATGGTCAAAGGTAGGACCCCGCTTATTAATGATATTTTTTTCTGCCGTGAATGGATTTTTTAAGTAAGTTGTCCGTGTGAAACACCTGGACAATTACGTAATAGGTCCGGCTAACCGTACATCGCCCGAGGTAATCATCTGTCCACTCAAGGTAAATTTTTCACACCTCGCTTCACCCCAGTCAGCGGAAAACAATAGATCGACCATCGCTTGCTGGTCATACATTTTAGTCTTAACAAAACATGTGGTGCAGTTAATGGCTGTAGGACTGTATATCAAATTAAAGTAATTTGGCCTACCGAACACAAATTCTGATAAGACAACGAGCATGCCTTTCACAAATATTCACGGTTACCTTGACCAGTCATGTGAGAAAATCATGCCGATTTCAATGAAAATATTACTTCAGAAGGAAGACCTGTGCATTTAATCATTTAAGCAATAGTTTCTTAATTGCATTAGAAGTTGATTTCCCGTGTTTCCGTTGAAGTGTCAAATTCGGGACATACATTCGACAGCATGGTGCCGGAAATCGTTCCAAAGTTTTACGTTATTGTCGTAAACAACTTACGACGGCTGCTTGATTATTGTTAAAAAGGGAATATTTTTTGTTTTCAATTGTTATTGTTGTGTCCATACTATTTGTATTTAACAATAAATAGTTATGATTAATATGAGGTAGGACTTCATCGTTATTAAAGCGAAGCCCTATGCGAAAAAGTAATCTCGCACTCGCGTGACTATAAATAGCCTTATCAAATTGCCCAATGAAAAGCGTGCGGGTAAATTTTGTATTCGATCGACCTCTAGACTTTGAACTCTAACCCGGCGAGTCACAAGAAGTAAACAAAATATTGGAACGTGTTTTGGTTTACTGGGAAGACGATACCTACTACATCATTTCCTTGAAGACAGTGGAACATCCGCGAAAAGAGCTTAGTGAATATGCAGTTGGTGATGAAATCTTTTCATGAATCC